TTATTGTGTATATATATATATATATATATATATATATATATATATATATATATATATATATATATATATATATAATTCTGCTATGGCTTATTTTCTCAGGAACTGCATCATCTTTGAGAAAGTTGAAATGCACAGCTGTCCCTCACGTTTTTCCTTGGAATTGGAACAATCTATGCTCACCCAGTTCTCTGGAGCGGACGGAAAGAGTGAGCAAACGGCAAAGGGTAACTCAAAGTCAGCTCAAGTTGGAGGACATGCAGCGGCTTAATGCCTTATTGGAAATTGGTGCCGACGATGAAGTTGTTAAAAGTACAGTAAAACCTCGTTATACTGCATGCCCCTCGTAATACCGCCAATCTCACTTATCGCCAGGGAAATGTCAGTATACAGATCATTTGTATCTATTTGTACGTAATTTAGCCTTGTAATACCGCCCCTCGTTAACCGCCAGCATTATGGCTATGTACAATTCTATATAAATGCATTGAAAATACACTCGTTCTACTGCCATCGAGTGTTGGTCGGTATCGGTTGATCAGTTTCTGTGGTAACATACACACAGCACATCCACTCGAGTCCTATGTAATAGAAGTAGTATTTAGCAGTATAGTACTAGCGGTAGAGATTCCGCCCCCATCATCACTTAATACTCGGAGGTCAATTCAGACTGTATTGCAATATTTTGAGTCGAACGCATATTCTAATGAACGTGACATTTCTGCCGTGTCCCTTCTACAATCTCGCATGGATTCACTGATTTCTGAATGTTCTAAACAGAAGTCAATTTCAAACTTTTTTAAGAAAGATTGAACCCCGGAATATCAAAATACTGCACGCCAACTTAAATGTACATGTATGTACATGTGCTGTACTCCGGACTAACGAAAACACGGAAACAAACATGAAACTATAATATTTTTATTTTAATAGCAATTCAGTTATAAAACAAAGAAATTTTGTTAATATGATTTTTATTTGTCATGTGATTTTTGTTTATAATCATATATCATCTATTTTGATTGGTTTTCTAGCAACTGGAGGCTATTTAGTGGTTCGATCTCAATACCTCGTTATAATGCCAATATTTCCCAAGTCCTGATGGTGGCGGTATAACGAGGTTTTACTGTAATATGGATAATTTAGCAGGTAATAAATGAATTAGTGAAAAAGACATGTCATTGATTGTTTTCATGATCAAGTAAACATATAATTATTAATTACATTCACACTTCAGTGCCTCCAAGTTTCAAATAAATATTGTTTCTGTCTATTTTGCCAGTTTATGTAATAAAATACTGAAGAGCCCATATAATAAGTAACAAATGCTTCTATTAATTATCCTAACTTACCCATTTTTTCTTATATTTATAAGATCAATATATATATATATATATATATATATATATATATATATATATATATATAATATATATATATATATATTATCTAGATCAGGCGCTCGAATTAACCGATGGCACCGACAGGCAATTGCCGGCCGGTGCCCCTTTCAATCGCCGTACTGCCCCTGAAATCCAACGGCCGACCGACCGGCAGTCGACCGGGCCTTGCCCTTTTTCTGTAATTGCCGCCGGTACTGCCTCTTGGCTTAGACTCGTTCGCACGGGCCCCGCACTGTTTATCGCAGAACGTGTACTATTGTCTAGCAGAGAGTGAGCCGGATAACCAGTCTACCCTCGGTTAAAAACAATATAACGTGGTATTGCTGCCAACGATGCCGTAGACGATCATAAATCGTGCACCTGTGTATGCTCGTGGTAGTAACACTGAATATTTAAATGCTGCCACGCCCGACTCGGCCCGCGCGCGATTTAGAACGTGCGGGCAAACGAGTTCAAACGACGCCGCCGCAAGGAATGGCCAGCTGATCATGCTACGTGTTTTAGCTTGCTAATGTGCAGTTAAATAGAAAAATGTTGAGTAAGGAATTCATACCGATGACACAAAGTTCTTTCATAACAATGGCCTGTTGTGCCCTTCTCCAAATTGTGAGAGTTGCCTGATGCCTTTAAAATATGCCTCGGTGCCCATCCATTTTAGAAAAATTAAGCAATTTCTCACATTGCCCCCAAAAAATTGCTTTGCCCCTCCTCTCGTCGCTTTAAATTCGAGGCGCTGATATATATAGATATATAATGTAAGTGTATATATATATATATACATATATCCATATATTGGATGAAAGCATCATCTCGCTATATTTCTATACATTTAAGATACGTGTAAATGACAAAGTGACGTCGTTTCATATTAGTGCAAAGTAACTGTCCCTGGACTTCATAATAGCAGGAGTAGATGAAGATCTTCATCTACTCCTGATAATAGTAATCATAATTTTGTCTCAACCCATCATTGAATTTTTCAAGGTAGGGTACAGTAATATGGTTAATAACTGGTACAATAATATAGTACTATATCTAGGATTTTACTGCATGCATACAACTGTACTTACTGTATAACAAATCGTCTATACCCACACGTACTTGTTACCAGATACCTAATTTAATTGTTATAATTAATTATACATCAACGCTACGAAATTTGAACGAATCGACCATTCCGCCATGGAGATCTTTGAACTGAGATGTCTCCGGAATGTCCATCAAAAACTCAGCATCAACTGGGTCTATTTGGTCTGTAGCATCTAAAAATTCCAGCCTGGGAGAGAAATATTGCAACTTTTTTTACTGTTTTGCAAATTTATACAATATTATAATGAAATAAAATGTAGGATGATGCTACTGCATTAATATTGCCATAGTCATAGTAATCAGGTAATAGAATTAGAATAGACCTACTACCTATATCATTATCATGCATATATAGTATTAGTATATGTCTATAACAGTATTAGTAGTATGACTGAGTATCTAACCGTAGCTAACCGGGGCAGAGTACAAGTTTGTAAGACAAGACTGGTACTGTCAATCATTAAATTTAGGTTATGTATTAAAGGTATACTCCAATAACTATCAATGCAAACTTATTATGCATTTATTATTGCTAAAATAAGCTCATTACTTGTCAAAATACATTTTCCAACGGTCTGACAAGTCACCACAGATCTCAAGAATACCCTATTATCGCTCACAGTAGACTGGTACCCGTTCGCCACCTTCACTTCGGCAAGTATCCTTTGCTACACTGACGTTAGTGTAGCATGTGGAACTGTCGACCGGGTACCAGTCTACGCTCACAGTGTATTGTTTACCTTGCTACTAATTCCCGTTTTCGTCCTGATACTTTTGTAAACAGGAATGTGCGTTCACGTAGAAATGATGAAGTAGATCCAGAACTTGTGTGGTAAACTGTACAACCTTTAATATCTTAGACACATCACATCTCCTTACACACAGACAAAGAACGCGCACACGCGCATACGCGCGTGTGCCTCCTTCCGCGACCAGAACCAGCAACAATAATGTCTACAACAAGTAGAGAGCAGACCTCCTCTCCTTGCTCCTGCTCGCAGCGCTCTTAAATCTAACCGAACTTGTTGTTCGACCTCCCTCCTCCTGACGTGCGCTGGGTGCGGGTCATAACCGATTATCCCGCAGCACTCCGGCCCCTCTGTTGACGTCGTTATTCACCTGATTGCTACTATCATTACCCTCAGCCCGCACCGCGCGCGCTCCGAATATCTCATCTATTCCATCTGGCTTGTCGCCAGCTTCGTTACACTTTCTTTTTTCGGGCTCTAAGTTCTGTCTTTAGATCGTTTAAACTCATTTCTTCGTATTTCTTCTTTGGCATTTTGAAAACGATGCGTATAATCCACGTAAAATCAAATGAAACAACAAACAGAGTTGAACTACACCAGGATTTTGCTTGAAGAACTTGGTTGCGTCGCAGCGCCACCTGGTTTTTTAGTTCCAAAGTACCTCATTGCTACCAATTTTGTTGAGAATGTCTGAACGTTGGATTCATACATCTCCATACCTTTAGTCAATGACCATAAACGTCTGTCAATCCTGGACTGACTTATAATGTTCTCCGTGGGGTAGACTTCGCCCCTGGGGCTGGCTACGCCACCTAGTCGGACATGTGGCGATTAGACGTTTTTTTACTCTATTGCCACGACAACAACTAGACTTTTCTTAAACTCTTATTGTTCCGTGATGAAGCAATCATAGACATAGTAGATAGTGAAAACTGAAACATACAAGAGAAAGAAATCTTCAAGTTTCTTTCAATAAATATTCATTCAGCTAAACTTGTAACTGTTAAATTATTGACCAATAAATGATGTACATACATGCATGAGCTCTACATATATGATGCTTCTAGGCCCATGATAAGGAAATACTAAAGTTTAACCTCGGCTATATTCTGGATTAAATAACAAAGGAATGTCGAACATAAGTTTGAACGAAACGACAAGTCACGATGTACACTGGTGACGAATTGATGCTTAACAAATCGACTAACAAGCGTGAATTATATATATTCATACCGAATGTGTCAGATCTAGCATTCGTTAATATATAAAAACAATACAAACTTACAACGTGTGGGCCATTTGAGTCCGGGAAAAATAGACAAACTTGTCAAACAATACGACCGTGTTCTGATAACGAAAATGCGCTAACCGGAGGCACACATGACAACAAACGAGCAGTAACTTCCTGCACTATAGTTCCGCATAACACATTGCAAAGATGGCAGCACCTATCAATAACAACCGCAAACGCGATCTATCATGTTTCAGAGTGCCAGAATATATCATCCGCTATAGAATTTATCGGATCCAGCACATGTTTATTAACTGTGAACCAGGCACAAACTTTCTCAATCAACATGATCAAACAATTAACATTGTACTTTGTTCATAAAGTTATTTTCCCAATGCTTCTGCTGACAAGGCAGTGAAAAGTACATAGGACTTGGTTGCTGCACTCTGCCTTTTTTCATAACTTGGTACTGCATCATCTTCAACTTCATTTGTGTGGGCATAATCTTCTTCATATAACAAATAATGTGCATTCTTGAATTTGTGAATCAGCTGTGAAAGGGTGTGCTGATTCACCTCAGCTCCATCAGGGTTTTGGAAGCAGTAGTGTTTGCTGGATCTAACTTGCCATCCCTCTTTTTGATATTGAGCTCATGACTGGTTGATTTTTCATGGGCTACAAGAATATCTCTTCTAACGTGTTTGCATCCAGTGACAAAAGTCCCAATCTGCTTGCCCTCTCTCACACACACAGCGCAAGTCATACCTTTCTCTACGTCAAGTCCCAGCCATAGGAATTCTGCGAACCATTTGTGCTGAAACCCACGCACTCGTTTTGATTTCTCATACTCCCTCTGCTGATCAAGTTTCTGCTCTGCTGTCACAGTTTTGATTTTTTTTGGTGTTGGCTGTTTGTAGTTGGTGAAAAACTTGAAGATTTTCCCCGCGTTTGGGTTATTTTCTGCCATGATCAGATGGTGAGCACGCAGTTTACATACGGCAATACCACCACGCAATGCGCACGCGTATGGATGACCTGTCAAATCACCATGTGTCTCTGGGTGGCAGCCACCGGCGGTCGAGTAAGCTGTCGTGTAGCCTCGCTGATTGGCGGGCCGACAAGCGCTTCACCGGCGGCAGCGATCGAGCCGGCAATCCCTGCATACTGCCACGTGCTTCGTAAATTGCGGTACTTTGTACACCACAAGCCTTGCATTGAAATAAGACCTCATGTGATTGGCTGACATAGGCATTCATAATGTTTCACGCAGTATGATTGGTTCTCACCTACATCGCCATGAGAACGGCACTGACTAAAACCTGGACTTGGAAAATGGATAGTTACACGAGACATTTACCGTTGGAGTTATGAACGATTTCGTGCTACTTTGCGCGATTTCCTGATTGGAACGGCCATGTTTTGGTCTGCCCGCAAACAATTCCTTACGACGGTGATAGTTCACAAACCGCAATTAAATTCCCATTAATCATACACTGATATATCCGAAAACGGGCGGAATTACGAAATCTGGTCTGGAATTGTTTACTTGCCCGACGGGCAACCCACCCTGGCCTTTCACTAGCCCTTCCAAACAATTACTAGTCCCGGGCTAGCGGGCTAGCGGCTGATTCCACCCCTGGGGGGGGGAGCAGTGAGTGAGTGTGTTCCTCCAGTGTGTATATACATTACATCGCTATGTACATACATTACACATGCATACTATTTATAATATATGCCTAATTATATGAGACAATAAAATGCAACCAAAAATATAGTTTTTGCCGAAATAAAACAAAGTGACTACCTTACATCGTCTTCGTGTCACATTCACACTACCATCAAAGTTTATTCCACCTATCATAATAGTAAAAACAT